CCAATTCACTAGCTAACACCTTGGCCAAAGGGGGTGCTTCTCTGCCTTCTCTTATGATCTCTTCTGATGTAATCTCTTTATATAGTCATTAATAAAATTTTCGAACATTTGCCCAGAAAAAAAAACAAATCAACGGTTCTTCAGCCATGGCAAAGTGGCTTTACTAACAATGATGGCTAGAGTGAGAGAGAGATCATGCACTCTATGGGTGCGGTTAGGACGAAGCTTAGGATCTATATTAAAAAGTAAAGTTGTAACTCAAAGGACTATCAGTCACCGCAGTTCCGGCATCGAAAGTCCTTATATGAACATGAAGATCTATTTCTGCTATTGATTATAAATTTGAAGCTCTAAAAATAATAAGGATCTAGAAGATATATAAACTCTTGAAAATGAACAATCCACCGTTTTTCTTTTGATCTATGAAATTCAAGGTCAAGATGATTAATTCAAGGGTCTTTTGATAGTACGGATCTTATATAACGGTGTGGTTTGTATAAGGCTGAGGCCCTAAACAATCAAAGTAGGGCATACCTTCAAATAGTTCTAAAATATATTCTTTTAGTATCAAAAATCTTTTTGATGACATGAAAATTGATTTCATCCCTAATTAGAAAATTTAAAGTAAAAAAATAGGGTAGATCAAGCAAAACTATGAGCACTTGAAAATATTAAAAATTGACGGTCTAGATAAAACATTACAAGATACACTATGTTCAAAACTTGAAATCTATTTTTTTCTCATGCTCATTCATCTTGAGGTCAAGGCAATCAAATTGAGGGCTTTTCAGCATCAAAAAAACCTTTTGTAATGAATTCTTATGTATGCCTTAATTTGATTGTTTAAGGCCTCACCCTCATGTAAACATTTTCCTTTTATAAACTCTCGTTACTGAAGTGATGAGGCACCCTTGAGGAATACCTTGGCTATGATAACTTGGTCCTTGTTAGAAATAAAGAATGTTCATAGGTCCAACCATGCTATGTGCTTACTCCCATGGGAGAAATGGCTGCATAAGATTTTTTTTTGTTTTGAAATTTTGAGATCCACCGAAAATTACCATATGACTACTGAAAGAAAGACCTATGTGATCTTTTATTGGGAATAATATATATATATATTTATATATTTAATTTTATTTTTTATTATTTCACCCTTTTTGTTTTGGCAAAAGAACACTTACAGGTGGTCTTATTACAATAACATGAACTTCAAATAAAATAAAAATAACAATAAAACCAAGATCTTAAAACTTGATGTCATTGAAAGAACTATGCATTATGCTTGAGAATAAAAGATAAGATTGCAAAAAATAAAATGAAAAATACTAGAGATTACCTCAACCAGGCTTATTACACCCCACACTTAGTCACCACCACTCGATGGCATGAGATCAACGGTCTAGCTTCAATCTCGAATCGGGAAAGTAAATTTTGGCCAAATTATTTCAAATAACTCTTTTGTAACTCATCAAATCTAGATCCGAGCCCCAAAATATTTTGCCATACTTCCCAACCCTTAGCATATAAGATGAGAGAGAGTAGGGTAGACCCTAGGGTTGGGGCGTGCCCCTTCTATGGCTAAGAGAGAGAAAATCTAGAGAGAGGAAGAGGGGAGAGAGTGGGGTGTGCCCCTTAAGGAAAGGAGAGAGAAAAAGTTGGGAGAGATAAGAGAGAAAGTGTAGAGAATAGGGGGTACACCCCTATTTATAGTGCAAAATTAAATTTAGGATTTCTTAAGGTTTCTCATAGTTGCCTCTTAAGTGAGATTGAATATGGACCGTCGATCAAGGGTGACTTGTGGGGTGACAGATCTAAGTCATTCATTACATAGATGGGCCATCAATATTATGGAAGGTGCATGAACCCTTTTTTTTTACCAACATTCAAAAATTTTATTGATAACGTAAAAGGAGATTACATCGTTAGAAATAGTAAAAGAACCAAGAGAAACCTCACCCTTAGCTAATGCATCAGCAACATAATTAGCTTCATGGTACACATGGGAAAAAGATACAGATATAGAAGTAATGGCATCCATAACCTGCAGCCATAAAGATCGAAGTTCCCACTGTATCTTCTGCTCCTTCTTGCACCACCTGATAGCATTTAGAGAGTCTCCTTCACTTTAACAGCTGGTCCCCAAATTCCTTTCATTGAAAATATTCACACCCCTAAGCAAGGAACTTAATTATGCAAAATTAGTTGTTGCAATACCAATTGGTCCAGCATAGAATAAAATAATATTTCAAAAACAATCACGAATAACACCACCAATATGAGCTAGGCCCAGATTCCTAAAAAACTCCCATCAAAATTTAGCTTCAGACAACCCATAGACGGAGCAAACCACAATCCCTTAGGTCGGCATCTACTCACACTTTTGAGATCCCCCATCCCTCCTTGGACACAGAGAGACTTGACCCTATAGAAGGTTTTATTAAATGGATTAACTTCTCAAATGGGAAGATGGACCCCTCTCCTTCCAAACTTCCCAAAGGATCACTCGTTTTACAATTTTTCATATTACACCACTAACTTTAGGTAAAAAGGGGAGGGTGAATTGAGAAACAAAATCAAGCAAACTATGAGGCAACACTAAGGAAACTCCTACCAATTCCATCAACCAATGTCAAATTCTTGATGTAAAAGAGAAATGGATCAAAAGATGAGATATTGATTCTCCGTCTTGTTTACAGAGCAAACAAATATTTGGCAGAATCTTACCCCTTTTCTGAAGATTATCAATAGTCAAGATTTTGTCATGTACATCCAACCTAACAAATACTTGAACTTTATGGGGTATTGGCCATTCCCAAAATTTGACAATATTATGGCATGACCATCTCCACCGATCATGGAAAAACAAATTATAGCAAGATTTTATTGAGAAATTACCATTACTTTCAATCTCCCACACTAACATATCTTCTGCATCTTGTGAAATATAAACTTTGTCTAAGACTTCCATCAGCGAACACCATCAGGACAATATCAAATTATTTAAACGCCTATTTCTGAGAGATATATTCCATTAAGACCGCTGGCTACTCTTTTCCACTGCTTTACAAATCAAAAGATTTGGGTTACACGGAAAAGGTCTGGAAAGCATATTTAAGGGGATAATCCCTAAAACATTTATGATGCCAAAAAAAAATCTACCAACCACTTCCAACATTCCACCTAAAGTAACCAGAAATCATGGGACTACAGTTATAAATAGCCTGTCACATATAAGACGTATCCTTACTTCTACCACCACCAGGCTAAAAATCATAACAATCCATTCCATATTTAGAAACCAAAACTTGGTACCAAAGATGATCCTTCAAGTGTATACTACGCCACCACCATTTACACAAAAGAGCTTCGTTAAACATTCTAATATTCCGAATACCCAGTCCACCTTCGCGCTTGGGGGTTCAAACTCTATCCCATTTTAACAAATGGAATTTTATAATCTCTCCATACGAACCCCACAAAAAAATCTCTTAGCATCTTCTCAATTCTTTTTCCTACCAAAGCTGGAATTTGGATCACTGACATTTAATGCACTGGAAGGTTGTCCCCCTTTCCTAAACCATTTCCCATCAATAGAAATTAAGTCAAATTAATTTCAATCATATATTGTACATTCCATAAAATAATACAAGCCTACTCATATTTCTCATAAAAACTCTTTCAAGATTCTCGAGTCTAAAATTCAAACCAAATCTTTCCAAGTCACATGGTTCCATGCGACCATGTGTCACAATTTTGAATATTAAAAAGTAATTAAAGGGTGGGCGTGCCACCCCAGTGGGGCAACATGGGCCCCACCTTCTAGAACATGGTGGTCCCATGTGCATAATAGGCTCCCATGAAAATTTATTTTATATTTTAAAAATAATAAAAATATTTTAGAATATTTATTTGAATATTTAAAATATTATAAAATTAATATATTTCCTTTTACAAATCAGAATTTCATAAATAGAATATCTAGATGTTCATAAAAATTCAAATAATAATTCTAAAATAATATTTATCATAAAAAAAACAGGCCCATGTCCCCTAAATTCACCTTATTAATAAAATCCCCTCAAATTCTTATACTTGGACATGGGCATTCCTTAAGATGGGTGTTAGGATTCTGCTATCAAGTGGACACCCAAATATTGTGGACCACCACAATTTACTATCACTCATCGCGTAAAAAAGCTACTCATGAATACTTTTTCGTTCTAAAATTTTGAGATACAAACTCGAATCAAAAGATGATTTTTTTGCAAGAAAGAATATATTGATGTTGAGCTTTAAAATGCTTAGATTTAAACCATTCTAAAATTCGGCGGTCTTCATTCAATCTTAAAACTTTATTGTTTAATAGGCGTACATCCATTGCATATCAATTTTTCTTTTAAATGAGAGGTTGATAGCTATGTTACTTCCCAAATTTCATTTCTTGAAATTACTCATACACAGGGTTTTATCGAAAAATGGATTTCTTGAGAATACTCTTAAACATGGTTTTACTGAAGGTAGTGAATAGATGATATGCTCCTATAAGAGCATATAAACTTTTTTATATTATTCATTAGGGATGAGATTCTCTACTCTTATTAAGAATGAAACTCAAGACGTTATATTTTGGCTCCCCACAATCCCGACTGCCCAGTCTTGAGCCCATTGTTAGAACATGTAAACTTTTAACTTGCTATAATTGAAGAAAATGTCAATTTGTCGTCTCAGACTTCGTTTGTGAATGTTTGTTGACAGACATATTCAACAATATGTGGTTAGGGTATTAAAAACTGAATGATGTCCAACAAGCTCCAGCCATAATGTACTTGATTTTGCAGTCCATAAAGAATGAAAGACAAAACAAATGAAGTAACAAAGCATAGTATATAAGAAATCAAACATCACATAGAAAATACAAATGAAAGCCAGAAGGATCACTTTATTCCATATGCAATCAATCTCTAATATGCAGTAATGAGGGATCATTGACCTAAAAGTTAGTTATTATCCATCCAGAAGCTGGATTGGAGTTTATCCACCAATTTTTTATCTATTTGGAAGGCCTTTGTAGGAACAGCATCAGAGATAGGCGGGTTGGCTCCAAACCCAGCATTAGTTATGGTTATCACCCCTGGATCCTGGCTATCGAAAGCTGCTACGGCCACAGCATTGCCAGAACCCACATTTTGCTGGTAGTGAATGAAGCCTTGCGGGATCGCTAAGATATCTCCCTTATTCAACGTCCTGTTAATCAAACTGTTATCGGGGTTGCTGGTCACGAAGCCAACGTATAGAGTCCCTTCCAAGACAGTGAGGATCTCAGAGGCACGTGGGTGCGTGTGGGGAGGGTTTTGGCCCCTGGGAGCAAAGTCGATACGCGCAATGGAGACGCCCAGAGTGTTGAGCCCTGAAAGTTGCATTACAAACACCGGGGTAACCTTGGAGCCTAGAGGGTTGCTTGTGTTGCCAGGCTCGTCGAGACCAGGAAAGAAAAAGTGCTTTGCAGTAGCCAACTTTGGATCCTTGCAAACTTTTCCATTGACAAACACTGCATGAAAGAGCACATAGAAGAAAAGGAGAGATTAGCATGCATGTCCATTTCAAAGCATTGTTTAAAAATCATGGGGCCAAGTCCGGACTCGCCCTAATCAGCCCTTCGTCTGGAGCTAGGCGCTTCTATGCCGGATAACCCTAAAATGCTCCAATCTGCCCATCTATTCATACTTTTTAATTTTTTCATGTTAGAAATTGCCCTATCCCACTCCAACTTGCCCAAGTCGGACCTTCGGGATTCAGGCTCGGGAACCCAGCGACTCGGACCCCAACTCCAACTTTTTAAACTCTAGTTCAAAGTGTAAAACACTAATCTTCGGATTGACAATTGCATTTATATGAAGTTTAACTTCATAAATCAGTATCATCAGATGCCTACCTTGGCTGTTATTGTCTGCAACACAAAAGTCCTGCTA